ATTATTCCTCAAAAATACAACTTGCCTAATAATTCTGCACTCCCTGTATATAGCGCAATTAAACAGCAACTGTTGACCAAGGCAACGCTGTACTTTTAAGATAATCAAAAGAGATAAAAAGAAAAAGCATAAAATGAGAAGGTTTGAGTAAGAAATAAGACAAAAGTACAAACTCATTCATTCACTTAACAGCCAAGGAATAAAAGAGGGTTTTCAGACAGGTTTTGAAAGTGTCTGATGTTGGGGAGGACCTGATGTGACAGTTTGTTCCACAAGGAGCAGTCACAGCAAAGGCCTGATCTCCTCTGTGCTTTAACCTGGACCTCGGGACAGCCAGGAGCGTTTGATCTGCAGACCTCAGTCATGTTGCAGGAGTGTATTAATTTAAAAGATCAGAAAGGTATGAAGGTGCTAACCCGTGCAACGGCTTAAAGACCATGTTTACTGTAAGCTGCAGTCATCACTGTGTTGTTGCCAAAGTAAAAGAGAAGAAGCCATACTGTGAGATGTTAGGTACAAGTTTGTCATCTCCTCATGTACTGTATGACAGAAGTGCTAACAAGGTGTCCAATGTACAATCGTTTGTACTCATACGCTGGATAACCTGCCTGGCCAACCTCAGTTGGAAATTCTTCTTAAAGCTAAGAATAAAATAAAATTGAAAAATGGAGTATCTATGTTCATATTCGTGTTCCTCACAGAAATGGAGACCTGCTATTAACATGTCCCTGAAGCAATGTCATACATTATGACAAACATGCCAATCACCATTTCTAGGACTGGTTCATAGTTTGCTACATTTGTCACCTCACTATTTTAATAATGACTTTAATCAACTCACAAGAGCTACCAAGAACTGACCCAGTTCTTTTTTATTGCAATAAAGCAGCTAGGATGGCTCTGCAGTGCTTCACAGACCAACGTCCTGCAGACAGCAGTGTTTGTGGGTGATGTTCACGTCTGGCTTTAAGCTACATGTGTGGACAGCACGGTGAGCCGTGTTCACAGGCAGGGATTTCTGAAGCCGTGCCCATTTTTAATGCAGTGCTGCCCGAAGCTTCGTCCCTGCACACAAAGATTGAACTTTCTAATGATCTTATCGACTATAGATGTCAATTCAAGTTTCACATTTTATGCTGTGGAAAATTTGAAATTGCTCCACAGTTTGTTCCTCCGAGTGTTTCTTAAGAGTAACACTTTTCCAGCTCCTTGTTGCCCTGACCCATCTTCTTGAAACGTGCTGCTGCCATCAAATTCAACATGAGCTTATTTGTTTTTTAATGAAATAAAATACCTCAGTTTAGATATTTCATGTTTTCTATGTTCTACTGTGAATGATATTTGAATATGAGATTGTCAGATCAACTATTTTCCTTGCACGCGCACGCACACACACACACACACACACACACACACACACACACACACACACACACACACACACACCTCAAGATTTTTGGAACTGAAGTTGTAGAAACCTTGTTTACAACACCAGCATGCCTACCATGTGTCCTTCCTTTATTCTCAGCAACCTTCAGGTGTGTGCAGACACAAACACAAGCTGTGTTTGACCAAGATGAAGGCGAGCCACAAGCCTCGGTTACAATTTCCACGTCTTGTGATGCAAAATTTCAGAACTGTGAGGGTTCTGAAATTTATAATACTAATACTTAGTCCTTTACAGACACCAGGTAAGCCAACAGCAAGTATTCATTCCTGTTATATCTCTGAACTCTGCCCATTTAAACGACTAGTTACAAGGAACGTCCCTAAAATTTAGCACAGGTGTCAGCACCGTGAATAAATACAGTGTAATGGGAGATGTTCACGTTTCCAGAACAGCTGAGTACAACCAATGGATCTAAATAAACAGAAAAATCTTTGCACCAAACACTACAGATTTCTGCGTGCCCTCACTCACTGCTCCATGTGTACAGTCAACAAGCACCACGACTTCAAGATTCACTGTACTGTGTGTGGACAGTACAGTGTAGGCGAGTCCTAACCACCATATTTATGTGCAGTCCTCCAAAGAATCAACGGTGCATCACTTGGCATGGATGATGTGGCCAGGTCAATTGTTGACAGGCTGGAAAGTGGGCCTGAACAAGGCAGCGATAAAAAACATAATTAAAAACGACGGGGAAATAAAATAAAACCAATCAAGGTGGAACAGTGGTTTGCACCACTGCCTCACAGCAAGAAAGTTCTGGGTTTGAGTCCACCACCTGGTTAGGGCCTTTCTTTGTGGAATTTGCATGTTCTCCCTGTGCATGTGTGGGTCCTCTCCGGCTGCTTCCCATAGTCCAAAGTAGGGCTGGGCCATATTATACCATTCACGGTAACACCGGTACAATGCTGGGCAACAATAAGAAAATAAAATATAACGATAAAACGCACATGCGCAGTGCCTGTTTTCATACGCACATGGCCGAAAAAGCACGGCAGCGACTGAGAATGAGAAGGGAGAAAGCGGATCATTGAGTGAAACGGATGAACCAGAACTTGTTTGTAAAAATGCTGCAACTTCAGTGGTGTGGAACTGGTTTGGTGTTTGTCTGTCAGATACACAACACAGCACATTTTTTTGTAGAACATGCAAGCGGCCGTCGTTATTGCTGTATTTGTCTGACTAAGGTGCTCGTAAATCTGAGAGTAATCTGGGACCTAAACTCCGCCCTCTCACTGAGAGTTAAAAATTGTCTGAATTCTTTCATCTTTAACAGAATGATCAGCGTTGCTGCTTTACCAGGTGTAACAATTACGTTTAACATCCAG